AATATTAAATATATATATTTACTATTATATTCAAGTTATTTAATTTAGTCTCTTAATATTAAATATTTTAGTATTTTAAAATAAGAGTATAGTATATAAATTAAGAAGTTTATAAAAATATATATTAATTATATCTTAAAAATCAAATTCTTTATAGCTTTCAAAGCTATATATCAATAATCAATTATGAATTAGAATATAAAATCAGAGTTTTAAGAAATAGAATTAATTCTATTTAATTCTGAAGTAATACTTTTTAAATTAGATATTCGAATTTATACATCTATTCCTCCTTTTTTTAATTCAGATTCTTAGGTTTCTTAAATATCTTATAATCCTATAGAAATACTTTCTCAATTAATACTAATTAAATCTCGAATAAATTGTTATTAATCAAGTTTTTTTATATCTTTATTTAAAACTATATTAATTTTAATTAAAAATATAGAGAAATTAATATATGAGAATATATTTTTGAATATAGAGATTCATATATTTCGAAAAGTAAATAAGATATTAAGCAAATATTAATATATAAAAAAAACTTAATTATATTAAGGGGAAATATTTATTAAATAGAAAGCTATAGATATATTATTTTAATAAAAGATTAATATTCAAATTCAATATAATAAGTATTAAAATGAGAAGAATTTTAATAGAGAAGTATTCTTTAGTTAATATTATAATAAATGTAAAAAAATAGGTTATAATATAAGAATCTATCAAATTAATATAATAGATCCTAGATTATTAGATTCTTAATAGCTTTAATTAATTGAATTAATAGTTATTAAATAATATGAATTCAAAAGTATTAATTAAGGTAAAAGTGGTGTACATACTAATATAGTATATGTACTGATAAACCATGTTATCTAAATCAGATAATAAAGTTATTTAATTAAGTTAATAGAGTTTACTAATATTAATAATAATAAAATATTTTATAATTATGTGAGTAGACACTTTAGAGAAGTGCTATACTTAATTATATAGTATTGTATAAGACAGTGATTTCCGTAATATATATATATCTTTTTAAAGGCATTCAATCTAATATTAGCCTATTATATAATCAGATCATATAATCGTCGCTTATAAGCTTACGAAAGCAACTATTAATTCAAAAACGATTATTAATCCGAAAACGATTATGTCACGGAAATCACTGTCTTGTATAATACTATATGATTAAGCGTAGTATTTCTCTGAAGTGCCTACTCATATGATCACAAAATATTCTTTTATTATTAATATTAGTAAACTCTATTAATCTAATTAAGCAATTTCATTACTTGATTTAGATATATAAGGTAAATATGATCCTTATAATCATATCTTAAGTTAATCTAGTTTATTATTACTATATATACCTATTTCCTAATCAAGGTAACCAAGTGATATAACTATCCTCCGTGATAGATTATTAATTCGAAAATGGCTATAAAATACGAAAACGGTTGTAAAATAAAGAATACAAAAAGGGGCTTTATTTCGAAAGAATGAACGGATTAGGAAGAGATCTATAAGAGATTAACGAAAGTGGAAAAGCTAAATTAGTAGGAAAAAGTATAAAAAGAGGTCTTTTTCCTTTTAAATGTAAAATAAGAGAGATTATTATTCAATATAGATTCTTTAATATTATATATGTTATGGGAGCTGTCTTTAGGGTTATATGAAAGTGTTTAGAAATCTTTTGAGATAATTTAGACTAAATTTCAAATAGGAATTCAATAAGGTTATAATTAATTATAATTCTTATAATTATAATAATAAAATTAATAATTGTTTTTGAATATAAAGCTCTATATTATAATGAAATCTATTCTTTATATAAATCTTTGTATTGAAGTCGATCAATAAGTCGATTAGCAAATCGATTAATAAGTTGATTAGTTTTTGATTATATAATACTTATCCTGTGATTCCTATTGTTTTAACTTATTCTTTTGTTCTGAGGCTAATCCCTTAGAATATTATTAATCCTAATAAAGCCTTTTTTACTTATTATATTCTATTTTTTCTAAAATCTATTGTCCTAGGAACTATATCCTACAATTTAGGGTATCCTATAACTAATACTATGTATATGCCTGAGGCTTTCCTTGAGTACCTAGTGTTCTCTGATATACTACAGCTGAATCACTGAGGCCTATAATATCATTATAGCCTATACGTTAGTGATTCTACAGCCTGTTACTAATCCGTCATAATAATATATCACACTGCTTATATAATTCATTTTAGTTATTAATTAGAGCTAGCTTCCATTATATACTATTAGTCTATGACCTATAATAGTATGTAAAATTCGTAATATACTCGGTGATATAATACATTCGGTGTTAAACCACGTTATACTATTATGTTATATATGTTTATTAAAAAACACATAATATAGTCGTTTAACTCTTCTCGTCTGTAGTAAATCATACGATTGAGATCTAAACGATACGTTGTACTAAATAAAATAATGAAGGATTTGAACTATTACGGTTCAAATACAGTCAAACTTACTGTAACTGTTAACCGTGTTTTATAGTGAATCTGGTTATATAGGGAATTAGTAAAACCTTTGTTACTCCAAGTGATCTCGATGTACACATACCACTTCCCTAGCCGGTTAGTCTAGTGGTCCTTGCTCAACGATTAGCTAATCATGCTGCCTTGACGACGGGTGCACTTTGTCTTGGGCTCTCAACATCTCTACCATTATCACCACCGTCGCAGACTACAGTCCATCAACACCACTTCTTATTCTATCCCGGCCGACCCCAAAGTAGTTCCAAGGTGTCTGCCGCGACAGCAGGTAACCGTGTACCGCCTGCCTACAGCCCACGACACTCCCGACGACCAGTGTCTCGCGGCCAGCACCGACTTTTGACAGGCTTCTACCCGTCGCTCTACGGACGGCGGCAGACCCTGGGTGCTGGTGCATCTTGCAGCACTGGAGCTCGTCATATAGAGTGTATTGTGGCTAGGCTGGGCGTGCAGGAATGAAAGCGACCGAAGCCTCGATTCCATGGTCGTTTGGTTCATCTACAAACAAAGCCGATTCCCATCACTTAGCCCAGCTCTATCGCGACACGGGGCTGGCCTAGCGGGATCGTCTTGACGGGTTTACCACGCCCAGGTTTGCTGTAAGTGGTCGTTCGAACTGACAGTTTATAGTACAAGAAACCGGTCACTATGACTGCCAGTACTGCAGAATGCTCCTCTCCCGCCAATCCCACGTCCTCACCCTCCCCTCGATCGATTACGTCTGGCACCGTGATGAATCCGAACAAGCCTAGGCTCAACCCAGAGCTTGACATCGAACAAGAAAGCCAGACCGCGCAAAGCCCTGACCCAGCACGCCTCGATCGATCCCCAACGCGAGACGAAAACATCGCGACTGCGTCTCCCAGTACTCGTGCTTCCCCGTCTCTGTCGCCCAAAAGTAGCAGCTCTGGTGCGCCCTCTCTGGGACACATCGAACCAACATGGCCTAAGAAAATCGATGTGACCAAGATCTCTGCTCTTGCGTCGTGGGGGAAAGGGCAGCGCTTGCCTGGCTTGCTCTTCGACTTTCACTGGGTGCTGTCTTCCAACAAGGCCTTCTTCCAATTGCGCGCCTCTGTCCAGCTCAAGCAGGCACCTGGTCCGCGTCGCGACGGCAGGACCAACGTCTTCATCCATATCTACCCTGAACGCATTCAGCAGCTGTCTTTTGAAGCAGAGCCCGTAGACAAGATATTTGGAAATGATACTATAGCACTAGTATTTACGCTGTCTAGGCCGCCGGCCCTGGTGCTGCCACCTACACCACTCGAACCCAGGAACAAAGCGTCAGGGACTATCATCACCTCCTTTTTTCATTTGGCTAGACAGATGTCGTGGACCGTGTACGCTGCCGTACCGCCACGGACTCTGTCTGCTGCACGGATACGACAATTCTGCGCAGCTGTCTCCGAGCCGTTAGCTGGTAGCATCTTTGCTTTTGCGAGTGCGACTACATTGTACCAGGGTCAAGGGGGCAAGATAATTGAGGGAAACAGCCTGGAATCTAGCACTGCGGGCGACGGCGATGATATTTGCAGTGAAGTGCACGATCATCCTCCAGAATACGAAGCGTCAGGCTCTGCCCCTGTCTACCTTGACCTCGACAAAGGCAAAAAGCGTCTTCGTCAAGCGAGCAGTCCCGAGATATACCAAGAGCAGAAATCACGACGCCCAGCCGATATAGAGGATCTTCTGCAGTCGCGCCTGTCAGCCCTTGAACAGCGTTTCGACGACGCACTTGCGGCCCACAAGAAGGAGATAGTAGAGCTCGTCGGGCAGGCCGAGTCACGAATAATGGATACGCTCCGTAGAGAGATGGACGAACAGTCGGCTGATTTCGAGGAGTCGTTGGACAGGAGGGTCAAGGAGGAGATAGCAGAGCTAGAAGAAACGGTGATGCAGAACATTAGCGAGGCGCCACTACAGGCCACTCTGACCTTTCCTGCACATCCTTGGTACTGAACCATGCCCCATCTTCTGGGCCCATCTTCTCCGGGGCAGACTCGTTCTTAGCACTACTGAAAGGATCAAGTCCAGGTTAGGCGAATGGTCAATGCCCGTAGTTAAATATAACATATATATATCTAAGTTATAAATCAACTAGTACTGATAAATTTCACTGACCAAATAGCACAGGGTATTTACTTAATGGCTTATGTTGGATAAAAAAATATCCCGGATAAGAATTCTCTAAAAAAATACCGACAGTTACCATTGCCAACAACGTACCGGGATGTATAATCCCGTCGACAATCGTTGTACACCCGGCTTCTATCGAACATCCTGTAATTCTTTTACTGTTGTCTGAGTCAGCTGTGTAGAATATCTGCTGCCAGGTACGATAGAAGATATCTTCTCAAGTTGTTGTGTTGATTTTATATCGTCGTTTGCGTTCTTGCTAGTTTCTATTCGGCATATTTCACGATCTTTTAACAACAACCCCTCTTATCTAGAAGATGGCTGATCGGACGGGGTTTCTCGCTGATGCTGCATTACAGTCAACACAACCAATTGTTGTTGCGAAACATAATAGCAAGACTTCAGAGCCCAATGATCCACAGCCACAATTAGGTAAAGGATTACCATTTTGGGTCTTTCTTTCCTTGTGTTTTCTCGGTCTATCAACCTCTCTGGAAGTAACTATCGTTATGACAGCTCTGCCCACATTGTCGTCCCTATCGTGTTTGGAATCTTGGGCTTGATCGCTTTTCATTTCTACGAATCGACCAAGTTTTGTAAGGAGCCTGTTCTCCCTAATCGATTATTTGCCAACCGAACCTTGTCAGCAGCATTCTTTATGGCTTTCGACGGTGCACTTCTGCTATACTGGATCATCTGGGATCTTCCAGTATACTTTCAAGGCACTTTTGGGGCTAGCCCGTTGCAATCTGGTGTTTATCAATTACCTCTCAATTTGTTTCTCGTCCCAGCGGGAATAGTAGCCGGGGGATTCGTTTCGAAGAGCGGAAAATATAAGGCTACACATTTAGTCGGCTTTGGCTTTACTACAATTGGCATTGGCCTTTTCACGCTGCTGCGTCCTAGCTCAGGCAAACATGCATGGGCATTCTTTGAGATCATCACCGCAACAGGGCTTGGAATGATACTTACAACTATTCTTCCTGCCATACAAGCCTCGCTCCCAGCAGATGATGTAGTAAAATCCACTGCCATGTACGCCTTTACATGCAGTCTTGGTGGCGTGTGGGGAGTGACCATACCATCAACAATTTTCGATGGCCAAGTCGATAAATTCCTGAAAGACGTGAGCGACCCGTCTATTCGTGAATCATTAAGCAATGGAAACGCATATCAACTAGCGGCAAAGGGTTACATTCAGTCATTGCCACGAGAGATGCATTCGGAAGTATTAAGAGTTTATGCCGGGGCATTGCGGACGGTCTGGCAAGTTGGGATTGGTTTATCTCTGGCTAGATTTCTGGCAGCCTTCGCTGTCAAACAGTATAGCATGAGTCAAAAAGAGCAAGGAAAGTTTGGCCTGAAGGAAGGCAATAGATCTGAGAATGTCATTTCCTACGCTGATACGGAAGTTGGCACCAATATCCAAGTGGAAAAGGAGGAGAAAGACACTCCAGAAGAGATTGGAAATGGGGCAGAAGGAGTCAATAAACTGTAGCCTAGAGATGTTGTTCACCTGCAGAGGGTAGGTTGGCATCAAATTCACCGATCACAATCTGGCTACCCTTAATTATGGATATCATTTTTCTTTACCTCGTTTTCGTTTATTCAATACCTGCTTTAATGTTAATAGATTGTTTTAAAGTCTTATCTGTGATTATCTAAAACTATGCCTGAGGTGATTGGGCATTATATATGGGATGAAACAATCAAAAAGGCCTGTCATAAGTCAAGTGTTTCTATTAATTCTCATGTAAAGTATATCAGATTGCAGTTGTTTTATAAATAATAACAGAAAGATCCACCATACATACCTAAATAGGCCCCGAAGCAACAGGGGCATGTTACTATGATAAAGTAAGATCAATAACCTGTAATCCCTCATTTATATTGCAATATCTTGCTGTGAAATGAGATAGAAGTTCTACAGCCCAAATTAACATACCAACTCAACTCAACCCACCCCAACCCATTGTGCCCGCCTTCGCAAGTTTTTCCCTCCCCCCCATCCCCAGTATCACCTCCACATCTCCAACAAACACCACGACCCCGCCAAAGGTTCAATAATTTCGCACCTTCTCCTCAGAATCGTCCAATTCCTATCTCTTTCCTCACCCCCATTCTGATACCGCTAGCTCCTCTTCTCAACTCTAATTATTCTCCTTGTACTCTCTACACACATCAACCTGCATTTCACCAAGAATGCGCAATTGGTGCAGACATTTGTCTTTGTCTGGACGCACTGGCTGGGTAATCTGGAAAAACTCATGTTTAGCAGAGTAGGGGAACCCGAAAGCTTGTTCTAGCATATCAACACACCGGCCCGGAAAGCCATGTCATTTCGGCTTTTGGCTTGCGGAAAATGAAATGGGCGGCTGTATTGATATTAAATCTGAGAGGGATAAGGTAAAATCATTAAGTGAAAAATATATTCATAGCTCCGTGATCGCAAAAGATGCTGTTTATCTTATCATAGTTTGTTTAGGCTGTTTATTGTTATTGTATAGCCGATATAGTTAATGAGCTTTAGATACATTTATATCATATAAAGGAGGGGAGTATAATAGGTAAGATCAATAGTAAGTATTTGGCAATTAGAGATGAGGAATGGAAGTGGAGGTTAGTGAAGATAGTAATATGGGATTTGCTTCCTTATTATACTATCAATTTTCAATATGCTTTATTTTCAATACTAGCTGTGGGAATAGGAATCAGTAAGCTAGAGGTTAGCTTTTCCCTCCTGATCTTTTGTTTCTCAAGATAATTGTATTTTGACTAATTCATGTAGGACTGGCCACCCCTTTTTGGAGTTCTCAGCAAAATCACCACAGTTCGTGCTTTCTGGGGCGAATTCTGGCAACATATTATCAGACGGGTATACATCCTACATATATCACCCCACTATTATATCAGCATAAATTTTCAACTAACTAAATGCTCGAATACAGATCTTCAATACATATACCCGCTTTCTCGTCGATTTATTCCATATTCACCATGGCACCCTACTTTCATCATATACTCAGCTTTGGGTCTCTTTAATTATATCCGCTATATTCCACGCTCAATCAAACCTTATAAGTATTAGCTCATCTAACATCAGCACTTCCGAATTAACAATCGGAATATTACAATTTTTCATGTGGCAAGCGTTAATAATTACAATCGAGGATTTTGTGCAGTGGGTCTGGAGGGGTCTGGGACAAAAGTCCCAGGGAGTGAGCTTTTTTCGGAAGGGAGTGTGTTGGGTGTGGGTGGCATGGTGCTTCTGGGCAAGTATTCCTTGGGCGGCTGACGTTATGTTGAGGATAAGGATTGCAGAGGATGAGTTGTTGTCGGTTTCCATTATGAAGGAAAAGATAGAGCCTTTGATGGGTTGGGTTAGGGACTTTTAATGGTTTTAAAGCGAGTGATTTTGTGAAGTAGGTGGAGATCTAAGTCTGCACCCTTATATATCGAATACCCTCACATTTCGAATACATCAAAAATCACCCCGCTTTGAATTATTATTATATTTAGAGCTTTAATAACTCTATAATTCTTTGATTAATTAAGTCTATCCCCTCTTTTACCGAATACCCCTGTATTTCGAACACCTTTACTATCAAAAATCAGAAAAATTGAATTTTTTAACTTTCTTATTTATCAATATAATTCAATAAAATTAAGTATATAGTATTATAATAATAAAACAAATATATTATAAAAATTTCAGATTTTTAATTAAGTTTTATTCAAAGTTATTAATAATTGAAATTTGCTTTTTTATTTTATATATAATTCTTATACAAATGAAAAAATTATTAAAGTGTTAATAATTTTTGAATAAAAATAATTAAAAATAAATTACAAATTTTAATTTTAGTTTTAAATTATAAACTATAAGAAAATACTTAAAAATATTACAAAATATTTTGTAATTCTTGATTTATAAAAATTATTAATTAAATTGACATTTTTAATTCCTATAAATTTAAAAATCTTTAATATTATCAAATATAAAAATTATAAAAACTAAATACTTATATTTTTATATATTTTATAATATAAGATTTTAATTGAAATTTATAATTTTTTTTTAACTATTTTTGTTTAAAAGTTATTAGTAATTTAATAATATATTTATTTATATAGGAATTATATATAAAATAAAAAAGCGAATTCCAATTAAAAATATTTTTTAGTAAAAAATAACTAAAAATCCAATATCTTCAAAATTGAATATTATTGATATAAAAATTATAATATTTCAATTTTATTATATTATATTTAATTATAGTAAAAAAATTAATAAATTAAAATAATGGTTTTTGGTGGTAAAGGTGTTTGAAATATAGGGGTGTTCGGTAAGTGGGGGGGTAGACTTAATTCTAAATTTTGAAATTATTATATTTATATAATAAAAAATAATTACTTTAAAAATAATTTTCAAGAAGTATTTAAAGTAATAATAAATAAAACTAATATCAAAAAGCTAGCTTGAATTATAGTATATTATGTAATATGCTTTATAATTATATATATAATAATATATCATATTAAAAAAGTATTTAAAATTAATAAGAAATAATTTTAATTTAATAGAAATTATTAATAAACTAAATATTAATATTAAAATTCTTTAATATTAATTTAATATATTAATAAATAAAAAATATAACAAATTATTTTTATTATTATATAAAAAACGGATTTATTAATTAGAAAATGATAAATAAAAAGCTTTTTTAAATGAAATCCTTTTATTAAAATTAAAAGATTATATTATATTAATTCTATATAAGTTTTTAGTATTATATTTAATATTATTAAGAAGTAATTCCAATATCTTTTAATTCCTGAAATTAAGATTATTAAACTAAAAAATAAATAGAATATAAATAAAACAAGAATTATAAAGAATTGGGAATTCAATAAACTAATAATAAAAAATATTAATTAAAGATTTATTTAGAAAAAGTAATCTGATTTAAAAATTTGAATTTTTTTTATTAAATATTTTTAAGTTATTAAAAAAGTATTTAATTCATTTATTATATATAAAAGAAAATCAATATAATAATAATAATTTTCTATAAATCTTATTTTATATAAAAATTGGTTATTTATTATTATAGAAAATAAATGAACTATAAATAATACAACTTTAGAATAACTAAAAAAAAATATTTATTTCTCAAAATATCTTTTTTAATTCTAAAGAATGAAGATTTTTTATTTTAAATAAATATGGAAATTATAAAATTATAAAATTTATATTAGAATATTTTATTAATAAAATATATTTATTATTTTTATTATTATATATATTATATATATTATAATTATTCGATTTATTAACATTCTTATTTTTAAAAAATATATACTAAAAGAAATTTAATTAATTAAATCTACTATTAAATTCTATATTAATTAGAAAATAAAACCTTTTTTATTATTATTAGAAAATTAGAATAAAAGATTTAATACTTCAAAATTTCATAGTCAAATAAAAAACTAATAATTTTTGATTTAAGAATATAATTGAATCTTTTATAAATCAATTTCTATTTAAAAACAATAATAATAAAATTTTATTATTTAATTCTAAAATTAATTATAATTTTTTATTTTAATTTAATTGAATATAGAATTATCTTTTGTTTTATAAAAAACTTTTTATAAAGTATTTAATATATAAAAATATAAAAATATAATAATTCAGAATAAAATCATGAATTTAGTAATATAATAATTCTTATTTTATAAAATCATAAAGAGATTTGATATCAAAAATTATAAACTTTTAGAAATAGAGAATAGAATTAGAAAATTAAAATATTAATTGAATCAATTTATTTCTAGAAAAAGATATAAAGTTTAAATATCTTCAAATTCAAAGTTTATAAAAATTAAAGCTATAAAAAAAATTCAAATAAAAATTGAAGATTATAAAAATAATAAAAATAAATCATTTATTATTATAAATAATAACTTTACAAATAATTATATTAAAGTTTAAGGGTTATTAAATAATTGAAGTTTGAAATATATATAAATTCAGTTTTTAAAGTATTCGAAATATAGGGGTATTCAATATATAGGGATATAAACTTAACTTATATATCTAGGTAAGAGATACTTGTTACATTATATGTATATATACCTAGTTTGTTTTATTGATTTCCCTATTCTACTATTTTAATAAAGTTAGGCATAAGCCCCGCAATCGTAGACGCACTGATTGTAGGTGGAGGCTCCGCAGGCTTATCGGCAGCTCTGAGTCTGTGTCGTGCGCTATACATTTGCATAATCTTTGATTCCAACTCACCACGGAACAAATATTACACTCCCATTCATCTTACCCTAATATGGGAAAATCGCGATCCCGCAGCACTTCGAGTTGCGGCTCAAGAAGAGTTACTCTCTACTGGCCTCGTAAGGTTTGAAGAGGCAGTTGTAACTATGATTGAAAAGACGGAGAATGACCTTTATTGCCTCAGCGATGAGAGAGGAAGA